CTCGGCGCTGGAACTTGCTTGGTTGCAGAGTTGAAATACCCGGACAGACGAACACACACACACACAAAAATACACACGCACATACACACATACATACACACACAGACGGGGACGTTTCAATATGCGTTTTTGCAATTTGCATATAGGCAAAAACGCATAAAAACAGTAGCTGCCCACAATTTTATCAGACTGCTACTGCTGCACGTTTTTGGAAAAGCGGAATAAAAATAGCTGCGCGCCCAGGATAACTGGTGCCATCTTGCGTTTTGCGCAGATCTGTGCAGCGGGCATTTGCGGTTAAGAACGTTCACTGCTTTACGGTTTGGTGTACGCAGGAATAGTCAAAGTGGAAAGCGTTAAGCATGCCCACCAAATAAGAAACTGCGGTCTGACTGATTATAATCATGCTGAGCTCAGAACCGGCTAAGTTTTCGCTAGTTACTCTGTTTGTTACTGATTTGTCGTTTCGTGCTGTTAATGAAAAATCGCTGTGAAATTGGGGCATTCGCTCTGCGATGTTTTATTTCAAATGCTTAAAAATAACCTTGAGATGCTTCCACGGTAGAAAACCAACAGTCCATTCAACGATCATGTAAAACCAAGATTCAATATCGTCCTTTGGTGATTGTTCTTTCTTTTTGTGGCTATTTAGCGAAGCGTACCGTGGTGTACCTCGGAAGGAAGCTATTTTCCGCGGTAATCGGCAATCCTTATTACGAGTTCTGAAAACGGAACACTGCCGATTGTAGGGATATCGTAAGGCCAGCGCATTGAAAAACTCATGTAAGCACGGTTCGAAAACTCGCGCTAAGAAATCGGACAAGGCAGCTGGATAGCGAGGAACATGTGTAATTTGCTTTGCAAATTTTCCACCGAATTTTACTCTTTTTTTTAAAAAAAAAAGTGAAAAACTTCCGCAGTAATTTAATACTACTTTCAACTTCATGAATATAACTTTGTTCTTTCTTCCTTTCTTTTTAGAACGAACAAAAATTCTTTGGCATGTTCATATTGCGAGTGTGTCGGCTGTGTCGATTGCGGAGCTAGCTATGCTGCTTAGCATTGGTGCTCAAACTGCACAGTGAAATAAAATTTTAGACTGGGAAGTATTAATGGAGAACTAACGCAAATTGTCGTGCAAGGCCAAAATCAAATACATAAACTATATGATAATCGTTTGTTTCCCGACGCCCAATACCGAAATTCGATGGTTTAATATCGCGATGCAAAAATCCAATTGAATGCATGTCCTGAACGTCTTTTTCAGCAAAAGTGTCTCTGATTCTCAATCACCAGGGAGGCTGCAATTCTCCATGGAGATTTCCGGATGCATTTAGAACCCAAGCAGATTTCTTCCATGATATTAACACTGGCAAGAACTTTTTTGTGACTACCACCTGCTGAGCAGGAAACACGTTGCGCATTTGTCGTCTAGTTATTGATGCATAAAATTTACGCTGGTCAGCTATTCGCGCGCTTGATTAGCATATTTGTGCTTCTGCTAATGGAGCCACAAATGTTTAGTTTACAGTTAATGAGCTGTGCTTGTTGGGCTACTCCGATATTTGGAGAACGAATAAGTAATGCAGCAAAGAAGAGGAGCTAAAACTTAGCTCCTTATATTCCTCTTCATTTTTTTTTGAATTAGTTCCGGGACTAGTCTCTCACTTGCTTGTACGTCTTCGCCTTTCCCATACAATTTTCAAGCCTCACTGAGGTTGTAAATAATTTTTCTTTGGCTGTGTTTTACGCATTTCTATGCGCTTTTTGCATCTATGCGATGCAGAAAACGCATATTGACGAGGGATTGTTCGTGTGTCTTTGTATCTGTACGGATTTTTCATCTCGAGACCTACAAAAGCTACAGGGCTGAAACTTTGGGAACTTAATCTACATGCAT